CTGCGAAACGGTAGTCAGGTGATTAGATCTCTATGATCTGATTGGCGAAATACTACAACAGTAGTATCTTCCGCTAGTCCATAGTACTTTGAGATCTTGGCTATGGGGTGATTTCCAACGGAAATCCTATTGACACCACAGTTGGTTGGTGGCAGTTGGAAAACTATTCAAGTGTGAGAAGTGTCAAAATGGACCGTGCAATTTGTAAGTCATTTGCAAATCGACAATCCTATTTTACTCACTTTAGATTCAGAATACCACTAGCTGATTTACCTTCTGGATTCCTATTTCAAGGTAGTTTTCAACAAGGGTTGACATCAGTCGGAGAATTACTGAGAACCCAGGACGATTGGACAGCCATTTAATTCTGGTTATGAACTCATCATCAACAGAGTCAATTCACAGCTCTCAGAAAAATCGAGCTTGGAAACATCAGGTTTCGTGATGGGTGCATTAACATATAACCACTAAGTTGGAATCCAACGGTTCACTCCTCCTACTCCGGTAATTTGTGATATAGGATGACCACCATACGTGTCATCGCATGGCATCACCTCACTCCAGACTTGGTTGACTTTTTATTAAAACCTCGAGGAATTCAAGCCACCAATAAGCACTGGAATGTGATTCCAGTGGAGGTTTGTGGGGATTTGCTAATTTCAAGGTCATTATCACCAACAAAGCCCCTCACCTCCCCCCATTTGAGTAACATTCCCATTTGTTTGGTCATGAGATGACCTACTGATGACTAGACTTGAAATAAAAACTGATTAGTTGTAAAATTCGAACTGGTTACCACCTGTGGGGTCCTAGCTCAACATAACCTGACTGTCTTTTCAACCTTATCTTCATCCCAATGTATACTAACGTGTTTTCTAGTTATCGACTAAATACGAAATATGATAAGCTTCTCAAGTAACGATGCGTCAAGCTTTGTATGTATTCCTCTCAGTAATACAGACATACACATGAAAATGCTCGACAAACCAGTTGATTTCGTGTACATATCTCAAAGCAATAATTAAAACAACGAATACCAGAGAATCTATGAGAAAACTAATAACGTGAAGAGAAGGATGACGATGACAAAGCCAAGGACAATAAAAATAAGATAACTGGGGGGGAGGAGTGAGGCAGAAATACAATAACAAAACATATTCTTATCAATATTCGGTGTGTTTTTATATGTAGCTATGTACAGACAAAATAAAGGAACAGAAAAGAACATTGGAAATTAGAAAGGACAAGAGATAACTAACTGTCTTTAGTCCTATTACTAAACACGATGCATTTGAACGGGACTATTAGCTTGTAAGATCATACACCTCAGCAATCACATATGCGGTCCTCTGTCCTATTGTTTGGAGGTTCTGACACTATCATCGAATTCGTTAAATCTCAGTGGATGAGACAAGGAGGCAAAACCACAAATGTCGACCATTTATTCAAATAAATTACAGCTTCGGAGGTCATCATCATCATCAAGAATTTACCAAAAACCATCTAGGAGTGGAAGGTCATGGTTTTCAGTTTTTTGTTCCATCATAGCAAAAAAGGTATTTAATTCGATGTGATGGACAGGACAAGAAGAATTGGTTAAGATGCTCAGATGAAATGTTACATTATGAGATTTCTCATAACTCAGTTCACCCAAGTAGATAACCAGAATTTAGTTCTGAGGTGAATCAATCCGCTCTCCCAGCTGATTAGGTCGGCCTCAAAGAAGTGAAACGCTGGTCCGACGTTTAGATCACCTAGATCTGGCTGGCCAGCATTGCTGATCGGTTGTTAGTGGTCTAGAACTACTTACATCAGCAAGTAGTATATTCTGTACACCTGTGTTATGAATGACAATAAGCATGAAAACTAACTCCAGGACTTTCTGATAACTGCTACTAGGACGTTATAATGACATAAGCGTTACACTTCACGGTTAAGCTCTTGGTTTAGGCATATGACTTCCAACCAATGGACCACAGCTTCGAACACCGCCCCACTAACTGAGGTTTATGTAGCTAGGCAATATCATTATCTCACAAACATTAGGTGTGGCTCATTGTCAAAACACGGATGTGCACAAGGTTACTGAGTGCATATCGAATTCCATTGACTAATAAAGATATGTGTCTTTTCATTTGGTCGACACGGGCTAGTAGTGGAATCTGGGATGAGAGCATTTCGTCCTATTTCTGACTCGTCAGATGGGTATAACTGCACACAACTGGGTCATCTTGTTCTCACTCACACTACAATCCATCAACCAACGCTTCAAACGTCTAAGCCTTATCCACTACACCCAACACTGACAGCACACCACAGCCACCCCCTCATATGCAACGGATATTACTCACCATTATTTATTGTTTCTAGTAATCTCATGTTGTGTTGTTATTCTGGTTCAAATCAATCGACTTCTGTTGATGTTTGAAGCAATGGTGGCTACTGGATTACACTATAACATACATAAAGCATAATCACGCAATACATCGAGGAGGCATCCAAGCACACACACACACACACAGGAGTCCATGTACCAACACAGGTCGATTAATTCAATTCAGAATAATAACAGTGAGAAATTACAAGTATCAACAAATAATAATAATAATAATAAAGATGGATCAGTTAGAAAACGTCTAACTATGAACACAACCGAAGTAACACTATATAACAGATTAAAACTTTTCCCAACTCATTAATCGATTCTCAATTAGACTTCTATATTTCTGCTATTCTCAAGTCATTCTCTCCTCTACAAATACCAACACAGTGTAGTGTAATTTATTTTATTCTACTCAACATTCAGCCTATCTTTCGTCATTGAAATCATGAATGAGACTAGTCCAACATATAAACAAACTATCTAGAATGAAAAACATTGTGATCAAGTGATTGATGTGGAGTCATAATATTCACCCTGTTGGTTAAACACCAATAACATCACTGCCACCGCCACCACCACCACCACTATCACTACCACCATCAAAGTGGAAATATTTCAAAGCATAATATTTATCATCATCATCATCATCCTCTGTTCTCATCAGTATCAGTTGCTAGATGATAGACACGAATAATTGTTCACTTGATATCATTTACTACACAACCTTCAATTGAGGAAAGAGATAGAGGTGTGGTTCAGTCGTACAGAAAACTCAACTTTCTCTAGTCACTGATAGATACATACACGTGATATTAGACCTAAGCCTATACCATGTGTTTCACTCAGTTAACTGTGTGCATGTGTGTGTGTGTGTGTGTGTGTGTGTTATTGATGCTTATCACCTCTTGAACAGTGAAGTGTGAACTGATCACATCACATGACAAATGAGTCAAACAAGGTAGGTTGTAGATAACGAAGAGAAGACACATTCTATTCTATAACTGAAGTGTGTGTAGCTCTGAGTTATTGGTTTAGATACTCAACTATAAATCGGTATGTCATGGAACCGAATTCCATTCACACATTTCGGAGATATGGTAATACACATTACCGCAATTTCAACCGACTCCCTTCACCTGGTGTTATTCCACTTGGTTGTCTCTCTAACTATCATTATTACAATGATTATTTGGATGGGTGGTGTAGTCTTTGCTCAGGAATACTTCATCTGCAGTTGTCATGATGACGGTGAAGAACCTCAGTTCAGAGTGCACTCTCATTCAACTATCCACTTCCTCTGACCTATAGGGATTTGCAATTTTTTACTGGAATTGTCAAACTCTTTATATCTATCTATTCAGTAATCACCATGAATTAGAGTTGTTCTATCTGTATTATTGAAGGATGAGTGTTTTAGGTTGGAATTCATCATGAAGTGACATCAGTTGGTAGAACATTGGAATCCTGGGAGTACTGAAGAGTTGTTTTGTCGTAGTATGGGACTTCTCAGCAGTGTGCACACTCATGACTCCACGCAAGGGATCGAACCCAGGACCTCCAGGTTCCATGGACAGCACGTTGCCATTGAGGAGTCACTGAAATCGGTCATAATAGCGCAGATATATTCATTCCATGACATCTTCTAAAGCTTGAATATCCGCACTATTATCTATTCTCTCATACAACTTTGTCTACTTTGATATGGGTATTTTTCTATTCATCCGTTCTTTGTGTACTAATGTAAATAGTGGCAAGTTGATGTGATGCAGTTGTATGCGAGGTTCCACATAGATTTTGTTTTTCTGATATTAGTTACTTACAAGAAACATGGATAATAAGGTTGAAAATGAAGAAAAGAAACCAAACAATCATTCAACGATACATTAGAATCATTCTTATTTCAATCTGGTTAATACTCCTGAGTCGACGCTATTCATATTAGTTTGATTAAGATGAAATTAGCGAAAGAAGGGATGATGTTAAATTATCAACCAATCAGGTAATACCTAACCAAAATTGGCCAACATACTCCAATTCTTCTTAGCTCATCCTGATTCCTTAACAGTGGAACTGTAGCTCATTGGTTCATATACTCCATTGTCAAATAGTAGAAGATTATAAGTTGGAAGGATACCCACCTTTTTTCAGTCAGATTTCATCAGACAATTATGAATGTGAAATAAGGATTACTGCTTAGATGAAAGGTTAGTTTACAATGACAGTTGTTAATAAACGAATACTTTCTATGCATGGGAACAACTATTGACTTGAGTATTACTCATTATAGTCATATAAAACAAAAATAAGTTAAGATGTATGAGGATTTTATTTCTAAGGGCCATTAAACTCCGACTCAGTAGCTGGAATGGTGAATGCGTTCTCTGTTAAAGATGAAGGTCCTGGGTCCGATCCCTTGCGGAGTCGTGGGTGCGTACTGCTGAGGAGTTCCGTACCAAGACGAAACAATTCTTGTCTAGGGCTGCCAGGTTTTCAATGGTTCTTCAACTCATGTCAGTCCGTAACGAATATTACCTTAAAACTAATTATGTTTGACTGGAAATGATCAATTCAATGTTTATTGATAGATACATATTTCTTCATTAATTCAACAACTTACCGGTAGTTGTTTCTAACCAAACAATTCCATTTAGACATATTGTAGTTCCTGGTTCACATGGTCCCAACAGGTCTGGTTCTGTTAGTGTAGCCTTACAGTTATCAAGAAGAGTATTTACACCAGTACATCGTCGTTCAGGTTTCACTGGTGGACAAGCGTTAAATGATGATGTACAATATTGACTAGATGGTACTGATGATAATGTCGGAGCAATGGATATTACCGAAGAGGATTGCAATGGAGGTATAGGTGCTGCCGCTACTGATGCTACTGACGTGGCATCTGACGTAAATGGTGGCGATGAAGATAAACAACTTGACATTGGTTGTGATGATACTAACAATGATGAATACGATGTCGGAGCTGCTAACATCCCCGCTGTTGTTGGTGTATTTGTCGCTGTTGATAACAGTGGTGACGTTGTAGTAATCCAGAATTGTGGTGCTTCGGATCGATAAGGTTTTTCAAAGTTACTTGATGCAGAATTAAATGGAAAAGAACGGCTGTATGCATTGTTGTGCGCAATATCATTGTTATCACTAACAGTACCTCCAGGAGTAGTGTTTGGAGTAGCAGTAGCAGCAGTCAAGGTAGCACCGGATGAAGAATCATATGCTGGTACTGTCGGCGGTGTTTCTGCTCTACTGTCAGGCAATTTTTGTCCTGTATGCAATAATGACTTAGTGTTTGCTGTCAGCAGCAAATTTGAATTCATTTCGGTAATTGAATGATAATGGTGGGGTGATGTAGATGGAACTGTTGTCACAGTCATAGGTGTACGAGTATTATTATTATTACAATTCTCAGTAATATCCGGTTTGTTACGTGTTATACCACTGCTTCCATTACTACTGTTATTATTAGTAGTATTGTTTGAATACGAGAAATCTGTGAATACAGATAATGGACGTGTACATGATTGGACAAGTGGTGAAGAATTAGCTCCAGGACTGGAATGATTAAAGGAATTTTCAAGACGATTACTTGTTGTATGCAACATTGGACTACTACGTGCAGAATCTGTAATCAGGCAACGATCATCGTTCTATAACAGACAAAAATAACAATAGTGAAAATATATAAAGTAATTCCCATCTGAATAGAAATTTATTGAAATAAAGTATAGAGATTCATCTGCCTTGCCCAAAACTGAATGTCGTACCAATAGACATTCTACTTCCTAGTAGAATAAATCCGTTAATAATCATCTATGGTTCATTAGTGACTTTCACTGAGATGTATTGCCTGAAGTTATAACGAGAAGTCATGACCTATGGAGTACACCTAATTAGGAGTACTGGTCGATGAAATTTCATGATTGTTGCGCTATACTATGGACCGATAGAAATATAGAAATACGAACCACTGGATGAGATCTTGGTCAGCATAAGACCATGACGACCCTGGGTACGATCGCTCGAAATCTTAGATACCCACTACTGAAAAGCCTTTAGCTAGAACAAAACAGCTGTTCAATGCTCACAACTTCATAATGAAAACTAACTGGAAATTTAATTTGACATCGATACAATCCAGAAACCACTTCACATCCATTTGAATGAGGGTTACTTTAATACGACCTACCTAAGAGGTCCAAACCTCAGTAGATGGATTGCGGATCAAATATGAGAGAGAAATAAACTACCAACAGACTAGACAAGCCAAAAAGGTGGTGATGTTCAAAAAAAGAACTGAACTAGTTAATTGTCTGTTTAGCTACCAGTCATAATCGACACTTTGGTATTGTTCCGTTCAAAAAATCAACCCCTTTCAGCCACTAAAATCTCTCATTTCTGATAAATTTTCGAGCTGCAGCCTTGAGAAGTCCTACCACTGAGTTGATTACTCTGATCATAGTTCAACTGTGACGGCTTATTGGTATAAACATTTAACTTTTAAGCAGTGAGTTCAGGGGGCGAATCCTGTTCTACCTACTTTGGAATAGGCAACTGGAAAGCATCATAAGCCCTTATAGAAGAAGTGAGACTCATAGCTTAGGGTAAGAACACATGCATCGGGTTGAGCTACATTAAATTCTAATTTGATTGATTGATTCTGATAATAATTTAAGCCCATTTTGACTATCTGAGATAACCGTGGTTTGGACCTCGTAGCTTAGTTGACAGAGCATTGGACTGGAAAGCCAGTGGTTGCTGGTTTGAATCCTGCAGCAGTTCAAATTTGCATTTAACCTTCAATCATCACCCAGTATGAATAATTAGGCTGTTTTAACTACAGCTCACATCCCATATCATGAGTATTAAGCATGAGGATTAATATATATGTAGGCAGAAGACATTCTGTAGTCACATTCAGATATCGAAGTGATCTGTCAAGCTATTGACTAACCCATTGACTCAATTGGATAACTACATAATCAGGGAAATCAGTATCTTCATTCAGACAACAAAAATAAAGCAAAAATCAATATAAAAATAATGGAAACTAAATGGTGTAAAATATTATTAACTCAGTAAGTGATGATACTCAGAAAGGGTGCTTCCAAAGTTGACATTGTTTACGACAACGGTTTCAGTGGCAGTACAGTCATTGGATCCAGCTTGTATCCAGAGGAAATTGAAACGGTTCTCTCTTTACGAATATTTTAACACATCTTTATTCACAGTCAGCTTTTTAAAGTAGATCAGTTATCGTAATCTGTTTCGGATTTACTCCAGATACAAACAAAAGTTAATATATGTTGTCGTTTGATGCTCGTAACTTTCTATTGCTATACAGGGTGGAATTGATCGACCTCTGTTGGAAGATAGATGCCTATTCGGAGGCCTTGATACTCCCGGATATGCATGATGTTGTATTCATCTTTGTGATTAGCAATGGAATCCAGGACGTGCGTTTTGTCCTAATTGAGTCTCGTCAGCTGGACGTAACTGCACTCCAGTGCAAAGTGATGTTATTCCCACCTGGACTCGGATCAAGTACCCATCGCTTCAAACGTCAATGAGTTATCCATTAGGCTATTGGGGTACGAGTGCCACCATTTATGCAACGGGTAACAGTTGTTGTTTATTGATATTTGCTATTCCCCTTTGCTATAAAGGGTCGGATTGCTCGACCTATGGTTGCAAGAGGTAGGTCTCACGCCCCAGAGACCTAGTGGATAACCCGATTGGTGTTTTGAACGATGAGTACTGTGTTAGAGTCTTGGTAAAGACAATATCATCCACTGAGATGCAGATACATCCATCTGATGAGTCCCAAACACGAAAAAGTGGGTTTCTAAATTTCACTGCGAGTCACCAAAATGAATACAAAAGTCAACATACTTGCAGAAGACAGGATTCCAAAACTGCTTATGAGTAAGACCGTGATAACCATGCTGAGGTATCTTTGACACAACTCCTACTTCACACATGACTGGACACACATGATTTACCGCTGAAGTTGCAGTCAAGTTGTCCAACCACCTGGTTACTAACCACTAGCTCCATTGTTCGAATCACCCTCCACCTACAGAGATTTGCACAGTAAGAAGTACCATGCGCGCGCACACACACATATAGACAATAGATGTCGACTATTAAACAATGTATGTAAACATGTACAAGATTGCTCAGCTAGTCACTTTATGGACTACCAATCCTTCGTTCTTACCTACCTTAAAAGAGCTAGTCTTTAATGGTATATACTTCACCGTAGAAATCACGTTTAGTATATCCATAATAATAATAATAATAATAATAATAATAATAATAATGCAGAGTAAAGTCGATACTGGATGATGTTTGGAAATGAAATGAAAATTTGGACCGAGACGGGACTCAAGACAATGAACACCAGGTTTCCCACTCTTTGCTCGATTAATTTAACTACGAGATTCGACTGTTAAACAGATCTTAATTTCACTTCACTCACAAGCTGAATTTTGCCCGATTACCATGTCAATTCGTCACACGTTACTATTGCTTGGTCGTACCCCTATTGGCTGCCTAGTCAGGACTTCTCATTCCAATCCAAATCTAACTGAATTAGAGAGGAGGGGAACAACATATTTATTCAAGTAAAGTAAAAATCTGATCAGCAGTCGGGTCTTACAGTTAGCTCAATCGGTAGAGCACCAGATCGCAAAACTAGTGGTCGCTGGTTCGAATCCTGCAATAAATAAAAAGTATTATCTTACGGCACGCATAGAAGATAATGAATTATACGCGTGTATTTGATGTTTTATGCTTCAGTAGAGATTACCGCCGTCCCAACATCTTTTTAAAAAATGAATTTTCATAAATATTACTGGTTTCATTTACACATACATACACACACACACACACACCACTTCCATCACTTGTACGTACACATCCCATAGACATATAGACACTTTTTGTTTAAATGTCATATTTCCTAGTCAATTTTCATAACCCGCCAATTCTATTTAAATTTAGCATAATAAATAACCGATGTGTTACAGAACTAAAAGACATAAAACGGGAACAAAGGAAGAAAGAAAGAAACATTATGGTAATAAATAAGACGAATGAAATGTGTTTAAGTGTCTTGGATTTTCGTTCCTATTCCATTTTGCTACTGAAATCAGTAGACAATGATAGATAAACAGTGTGAAATAATATATATGAAAAATAACAAATTGCATTGATCATTGAAATATCTCTCACACTAATGCGAGAGTGAATTAAAATAGTAATACGATCAAGTACAAATTGCACAAGAAGAAGGATAATTGTTTTAAAAGGTTGAAGTAGGATGAATAATGCAATCTACTAGTTGGTTAGCGGTGGAATCTAGGATGCGCATCTCGTCCTATTTGGGACTCATCAGCCGGACCTACCTCCATCCCCGTGAGTGATATTGTTCCCATTGGGACTCGAACACGCTACCCGTTGCTTCAAATGCCAAGGTATCATCCAGTAGGCCATTGAGACAAGATAGCCACCCCTTTTACAGTGGATATTAGTTATTACCATTTGTCGATATACACGTAATTCTCCATTAGATCGAATTGACCGGTATTTGTTGACACGCGAGCTACTTTAATCACTTTAAGTTTCATCATTGAATACTGGGTGGCAATTGAAGACGACCACCTAGGGTTTACCGGGCTGCTATGTGAATCCGTAGTGCGCTACTGTCCCTCCATCATATTCACACTGACCTCCCAACCAGGTCTCATCCCAATTCAAATCAGGTTGAGAAGGACAGGATGAGCATCATACTGGTCATTGATGTGACTATCTGAGATAGTTGTGGCTTGGCAGACTGGTGTTACTGATACTGAATTATAACTGAAAGTGAAATAAAAACCTGGGTTGCAGCTCAATACAAATTATCAGCCCAACCTAGTCAGCAACTGAAGTTCGTAGTTAAATTGGCAGAGCATCGAGTTGGTAACTCAGAAGTCGCCATTTCGAATTCTGCCATGACCTAATTTTTGGCTTCACTTTCAATCCTTACTCAGTATAAAATAACACCAGTCTAATAAACCCCAAACTATCTCACATTATCGCACTAATATAATTGAGTAGTAATAAATCTGTTTAGAGAGTTTCATTGAAATATGAGCAGTTACGTGAGCCCTACTGATGCAATAGTTAATTAAAGTAGCCAGTGGCCTAGTAAGCAAGTGATTATTGGTTAAATAGGGATTGCATTCTTTGGCTCAACTAGTACAATAGTGGGTTCTTAACTCACAAATGCATGATTCAAACTGAGTTACTAATTAGTTCTCCTGTGAGCTCTGATTATCAACCCATTTATACATTCAACAACCGAGTCGCGTTATATACTATTCCTATCTGAAACAGATCAAAGTGTACGAGTTCGTACTCATCATGGACTAACATCAGTTGGAGAGTCATTGGGAACCTGGGAGCGCTGGAAAGCTGTTTCGTCTTAGTATGGGACTCCTCAGTAGCGTTCACCCATGACCCCGCACAACCAAGGGTCGAACCCAAGACCCTCAGGTTCTGTGACCAGCACGTTAGCATTGAGCTACTGGGTCATAATCTAATGGTCTACATTTCCTACTTCTGTCAGTTCACGATGTAGCGCCACCTCCATCCAATCATTTTG